TCACTGCTGTGGCGTCTCCCGTTGCGGAGCACAGGCTCCGGACGCACAGGCTCAGCAGCATGGCTCACGGGCCTAGCCACTCTGCAGCATGTGGGATCTACCCGGACCGGGGCACGAACCTGTGTCCCCTGCATCGGCAGGCGGACTCTCAACCACTGCGCCACCAGGGAAGCCCAAAATCCATGATTTTTTAAAAAATCTTTGTTTATATTCATCTCATGGCATTCTTAGAAGTGAATTGAAAAGAGGAAACTTCTTTTTGAAGATTTATTATTTTTGGTTGTGTCGAGTCTTAGTTGCGGCACGTGGGATCTTCATCAAGGCATGCAGGATCTTTTGTTGCAGCATGCAGGCTTTTCATTGCTGCTCACGGTTTTCTCTCTAGTTGTGGCTTGTGGGTTTTCTGTCTCTAGTTGTGATGTGCAGGCTCCAGAGCACGTGGGCTCTGTAGTTTGCGGCACACGGGCTCTCTAGTTGAGGTGCACAAGCTCAGTAGTTGTGGCACACAGGCTTAGTTGCCCTGCGGCATGTGGGATCTTAGTTCCCTGACCAGGGGTCGAACCCGTGTCCCCTGCATTGTAAGGCAGATTCTTTACCACTGGGCCACCAGGGAAGTCCCGAAAAGAGGAAACTTTTTAAAACTTCACTATTAAAAATAAGTAATTCAGCTGCTACCAGAGCTGCTCATTCTTTTCCATTTCTAACTCTACAAGTTAGAAACAAACCTTTAAACAGTTTGCCAGAATTATAAAAAGTAGAAGGGCATTGCATCTAGAGAATGTTAATAAAATGCAGGGAAAAAGAATTTTAATAAGAATTATTTTCAAAACCTTAAAAGTCATCTTTTAACTTCATCCTGAAACTAAATGTCATGATTGAATTGTTAGATTGTCTGCTTTATAAAATAGCAGGTGAACAGCTTCACATGACATCCAATATTTAAATGATTTATACACAAAGAAAAAAAAATGAAAGAAATGGAAAGAAATCCCAAAATGAAAGAAATTCCCAAAAGTTTTTTTCTAATAAACTTGGATTTTCCCTTTAATTCTAAGATAAGAGACTTAGTTGTTTTAATTAAAATTAATAATTCTAATACATGTACATAAAAAGACCCAGAACTATATATAGTCACAGAAATGCTTATGGATCTATATTAGATTAGAAAGACAAAACTAGTTTTTTTTTAATTAAAAGGCTTTTTGAAGTTTTGTTTTTTCACTTTTAAGTCCTTAATTCCTCTAGGATTTGTTACGCTAAGATAACATAGTTGCACAGGTCTGTTTTCGGGGCTGTATAGTTTGTTCCGTTGGCCGTGCACCTATCCCTGCGTCAGTACCACACTGCCATGATTAGTGTTACTTTATTCTTGTTATCTGTAATAGAAAGGCAAGCTCTCCGCCATATTCTTCTTCACAAATGTTTTGGATATGCTTGACCTTTTGATTCTTTCAGATAAACTTTGGAATCAGCCCATCAGATTCCTTTTTTTTTTTTCTTTTTGCGGTACGCAGGCCTCTCACTGCTGTGGCCTCTCCTGTTGCAGAGCACAGGCTCCGGACGCGCAGGCTCAGCGGCCATGGCCCACGGGCCCAGCCACTCCGCGGCATGTGGGATCTTCCTGGACCGGGGCACGAACCCGCGTCCCCTGCATCAGCAGGCGGACTCTCAACCACTGTGCCACTAGGGAAGCCCCAGATTCCATTTTTAAAGTTCTTTTGAGATTTTGATTGTAATTGCACTGAATCAGTGATTCTGTACTGGGGGCACTTTGGGCATTTTGGTCCTCACAAAAGGAAGGGATGTGTGCTGATACCATCTGTGGGTAGAGGCCAGAGGTAAGGCCAAGCACCCTACGCTGCACAGGACACCCCCCACAGCAAAGCATTATCTGGCTTAAAATGTCAGCGGCGCCAGCTTGAGGAACCCTCCGCGAAATTTATGCAATTTGGAGACAACTGATATGTAACATTTTTGAGGATTTCAACAAGAAATATATTTTGCCCGTATAGCCAGACATCTTGCTAAAGCTCTTTTATTTCTAGTATGTCTGTAGATCTTTTTAAGTTTTCTGTATGAAAATCCTTTTATCTGCAAATAAATTTATTTCTTCCATTTACAAAACTAAAGCATGGACTTGTTTATATATGAAGTAGAGTCCATTTTCTTAAATCACTAATAACTTTCTTTTTTAAGTTGAACTATCCCTTTTTTTATTCAATTCAGTTTACAAAATAGCCATTGTAGTTTGTAATGGTAAAAGCAGCATGGTTCACCCATTATGGTGTAGTTCCTAAATTCAAGTCCAGTTCACTACATTCTCTGTTTTGAATATAGATGTAGAATTCAGCGATTGATTTAAACTGTGTCATGAGGTGATTCACTGTCTTATATCTTTTGTCGGGGCACACTGAGTTGCCCTAAAGCAAGCAATCTGTAAGTTATGTCCTTTTCATCAGAACTTGAGCTTTAGACTTATCAAATATTATGACAGAAGTGACAGGTCTTAAAGATGTGCCTTCTGGGTACTTGCTCTTTCTGTGTAAGGTTTCACAAGCCTTTCATACTCTCCTCATTTTAATAAGATGAATATGGTCATAAGCTTGAATTTGCATAGCTCCTCTGAGGGAGTTTGGAGCATAAATAAGTAAATTTAATATAAGTTCTCTTCGTAATATAAATCATTTCTATTTGTCTTGATATAGACCTATAGAAAAAAACAACTAAGGCAAGGAAAAATTAGAACTGTTGTAAGATCACTTTAAAGAGTCATTGTTATAACCTCACCACTGTACAGATTCTGTTTTTATAAAAAGTTTATGGCTAGTCATGGTTTATTAGCTGTTTAAAACAAACATAAAACATAAAAATAGCAGCTTTATTGACATACAGAGCACATACCATACAATTCACCCATTTAAAGTGTATAATTCAGTGGTTTTTAGTGTGTTCAGACAGTTGTGCAAGCATCACCATAATCGATATTAGAACATTTTCACCCCCTACAGACCCTCAATACCCATTAGCAGTGGCTCCCCATTTCCCCAGCCCACCCCAGCTCTAAGCAACTACCAGTCTCCTTGCTATCTCTGTGGATTTGCATATTCTGAACATTTCATATACATGGAATCATACAATATGTGGACTTCTGTGACTAGCTTCTTTCACTTAGCATAACGTTTTCACGGTTCTTCTATGTTACAGCATGTATCAGAACTTCACTTTTTTAATATTTATATTTTTTGCTGCATTGGGTCTTCGTTGCTGCACGTGGGCTTTCTCTAGTTGCGGCAAACGGGGGCTACTCCTCGTTGCAGTGCACGGGCTTCTCATTGCAGTGGCTTCTCTTGTTGCAGAGCACGAGCTCTAGGTGCACGGGCTTCACTAGTTGCGGCATGTGGGCTCAGTAGTTGTGGCACGCGGGCTCAGTAGCTGTGGCTTGCAGGCTCTAGAGCAAAGGCTCAGTAAGTTGTGGCGCGTGGGCTTAGTTGCTCCGCGGTGTGTGGTATCTTCCCGGACCAGGGCTCAAACCCGTGTTCTCTGAGTTGGCAGGCGGATTCTTAAACACTGAGCCACCAGGGAAGTCCTTCATTTCTTTTTATTGCCAAATAATATTCCATTGTATGGATATATCACATTTTCCATTCATCAGTGATGAGCATTTCTGTCATTTCTATTTTTTGCGTATGATAAATGTTTCTATGAATGTTCATAAATGTGCCCTTGTTTTAGAAGATTAGATCTTTCAAATCCTAGTTTTACTTTCAAACACCACTTATTACCTACAAATAATCTGATAGTAATCATTGTCTAGAATATGAAATAAATTTTGTTTATGACTTCTTTCAGTTTAAAGGAATAGAGATTGATGGTGGCTAAATAGATATTTGATCACTGTTTTTAGTATAAACTGTTAAATTCATTCTATTTGGAATTACTTTTTATAAAACAGATATTTGGTGCTTGAAAAATTGAAGAAAGAAGAAGCTGACCGAATTCATGTATTCAGTTCTTTTTTCTATAAACGCCTTAATCAGAGAGAGAGGAGAAATCTTCATGAAACAACTAATCTATCGTAAGTCAAGCTTTTTGAAAATATTTAACAGGTGTAGTAAGTCACTTAAGTTTAAGTTAGAAAAAATCACTTATTTGTATTAAAGCAACATTTTTTACTTCCATTCTCAATTAGCAAAATTAATATAATTTATAATATTCTAAAACTCCAAGAATACCTGGAATTCATAAAGGTTTTAGGTCTGATATCTAGATCAGTATTTCCCAAATATATCTGATAGTTTACAAAAGAAAAATTACTTGAATACTTATTAAATACCGATTGCTCTGTTTTACCCTAGATGTTTCATCCATAATAGCTAACAGAGGAACCTGTGAATCTGTAATTTTAATAAGTTCTTTGGATAATTCTTCTCAGACAAGTTAAGGAAACAACATTCTACATATGAGGCCTGAGTTATTTATAATGCCTCTCCATATAGTGACTGCATCCAGCTCTAATACTTGCTGGCAGTTGGTCACAAGATACACAGAGTTGGTACATTTTTTGTCATAAGTGCTGTTAAATGTCTTGAATTGATGGCTGCTGTGCATAATATTAATAATATTTTCTACTATTCCAGTGATCCCTGATTTTGCTTCTTAGAGTTGATGGTAGTGGTTGGTTTTGACCAGTGCTGGTTCTGTCCTGTCTCACCAGCTGTAAGATAGTGCTCACTTTTGCTGCTCTCTTCTCAGTTCTTATAGGTCATGGTCTGATAATGCTTCTCGAAATCGTTGCTAAAACCAGTTCTGCAACAATAAAAATAGTAGCTCTGATCCACCCTAGTAAGTAGTAGGAGGAATTAAATAATCTCTTTCTTCCAGATTCAGGGACGGGCAGTTTCCCATCTTCCCAGCTCCATCTCAGATGTTCTGCTTTCTTCTCACAACTTGTTAAATCTTACAACTGATCTATTAACATCTCAATCTTTGTAATGTATAAATTGCTGCATAGAGGCAGAAACACTAGAAACACTTCAAAAGCTTGATAGTTTCTCTCTTGTCTTACAGAATACAGCAGAAGCGACATGGAAGAGTAAAAACATGGACCCGGCATGTAGATATTTTTGAAAAGGATTTTATTTTTGTACCCCTTAATGAAGCGTGAGTAAGAATTTCCTTTATGTTAATATGATGGCAGTTTTTAGCAGATGTGTTTTTGAGGTGAATAATTCATCCATTTTTTAACTTCTTTCTGAAATTTGTTGTATATATTGACACTTATATTCTTTATTTTATGGAAATTAGTATACTTTTCCAGTGAATCATATAAGATACTGAATTTTACAGACACTAGATAAGAGATCTTTCTAATTTCATTTTATTCATCAATGTAGAATAATGTCATCTTTTAAAAATGGTGCTTGTGGTCTAGCAGACATCCTATATAGAAAAGACTGCTATGTACAGAATGGTGATTAGGTCACATAGAAGAATTTGAATCTTTAGTTTAAGATACACTTTGGCTCTTAATAGAAAAGAAGAAAAGGTGGCTGGATTTATGTCATTTGCTCACTGAAAACCATGTTTACCACTTAAAGGTATTTTCTAAGTAAATGGGGGTGGTAAACATTTTGTGTTTTTCTCCCCCAGTGACTAGAGAGGCATAGATGTATAGAATAGTCTTACTATACAATTTAAACTTGAGAGTTTTTGTATTTCATTTTTTAATTTTCCTGTGTCCTCCAGCCAAAGACCTCCAGGAATACCCCTGTAATTGGACAACTTGGGTTTAGTACTTGCCTCAAGGGAGAACACACAACATGGGCAACTATGGATCCTCTCAGTAAAAGTGTGTTTGAAAGAGGCAGTAAAAGAATTTGGGCTTTGGTTTGGTGGAAGGTCTAAGGAAGCAGTGGTTTGTTTGGATAAAGAAGTTACATTCGCTCATTTAGCAAAAAAAGTATATTTGGTATTTTGAGGGGTTGCATTGTGATCTTCTATTTGTCTCTGCTGAGACAAATTATGAAATGGCCTTACTTTGTCTCATTTTATCATGGTTGCAGAGTAACCTTATCTGAGGTTGGTATTCTGTAAGATTGTTTATTTCTAATAAGCCTGTTTGTGCCAAGCTATTTTCTGAACGTGCTCTTTTTTCCCCACTATAAAAAAACAAATTCACTCTATAGTATAATCAAGTCCTATTTATTTATAATCATGCTTTAATCATAAAACCTGTGCCCTCTAATTAGCCCGGTCAAAGATAGGTAGGCTAGGTTAAAACACTGGTTATAGCTATAAAGCCCACCTTCTTCAAAGATACATATTTGAGTCAAACATAGTATCATAAAAAAATTTAAAACTAAGTTTAAAACTAATCTTTAATTTCTTCATTTTCCTCAAAGTAAAGTTTCTTGACATTAATTTGTCATATAAAGTAGCAAGTGAGCTGCCCACTAGGCCAAAGGGAGGATATACATAGGAAGTCATTTGTCAGAAATTAATTATAAAAATTTAAAATAAAAGTATAATTTTAGGTACACACAATTTAGTAATAGAGGCATATCCCTCTTAGTCACAGCATCTGATGTGATGGAAGCTACGTTCAGTGCTTTTAGTCGTCTTGGTGAAAGGTAGAGGATGAACAAAGGTACAGAATTAGTAAAGTGTTCACCAAGAGAACTGTGCTGTTTGTAGGTGAAAGAATAGCTTCCAGATCATGGGGTTGTTGTTTTTTAAGAGATAAAGCTAATTAGATTAGTTAGGCTGCTATGTATTTGTCATCTATTTTATTTTTAATTTTCTTTTTGGCGGTAATTTCTTTAAGCTAAAAGTTTATAAGCTATTTGTTCAAAATTGTAGCAATTGACAAGGAGCAGAAATTAGATGTTTGGATCTAATTCATCTTAAGATAAGCAAAATTACCTGTTTTAGCCTCTTCCACTGATGGCTTAAGGTCAAGGTAGCTGATATTAAAAGGGATCATAAAAGCAAAACCCTGGCTCTTGGAGGTTGAAAGTGACCTCAGATGTATCTAATTCAGCTTTCTCTTTTCAGCTAGGTGAAGGAAGATTTTTTTCCAAGTTTTTAGGTGAGGCAACAGAAAAACTATGGCTTATCCATATTGTCATAGCTGAAAAATGTTTAAAACTGTGATAGATGTAGGTTTCAGCTATAGGTTGAGAGTCACTGTATTATACCATATTTAATCGATTTTCAAAACACATATTTTCACATTATAACCTTTATGAAGTTGAGATGTGACTTACAATCAGCTGTGTCTTAGAATTGATGAAGTGAGGACGATGGTGTGCTGCTCTTCTCCTAGCCTCACCTGACCTAAGTCCTTGGGATCCTGAAGATTAATAATTAAGAAGAGGAGAGAGGCATTCCTCTATCTGGCCTTTTCAATACTGAGAACGAATCCAGCATCTATGACCTTTTCTACTCATACTCTCTGATGAAGAGACAGACAGTGCTGTTTCTTAGGAGTACCTTGGGGGAATTTAATATTTTACAGAAACAGTATAGAATAACTTTTATCTGTGTCAACATTCATTTTTCATTCAGCAAATATCTACTGAACACCCTATTCTATGACATATATTGAGCTCAGCTAATAAATTATCTGACATCTATAGCCTGTTCATTGTATCTCAGCACATAACACTGTGCCTAGCTAATTGTAAGCCCTTAATAAAATTAATTAGATTAATGAATATTACCCACTTTTAACTGTACAGTATCTTACTCATGGCTTATATCCTACTGCTGGGAACTGTATTACCTGAATTCAGCTCTATCATGAGTACCCACTTGATAGCTGGAATTCTACTAATACTTGGAATTCTGTGATGATGATTAGATTAGATGTATTATTTCAATTTAGTGTATTTTATTTTAGTATAGCATGAGACAAGAATTATTTAATGTTTTCAATATTAAGAAGTTCCTACCTCATTAATAAGAAAAACACAGACATAAATTTTTTTAAAAGCTATTACTTACAATATTTAGAAAATGTTCAAAATTGTAAAGTCTAATTAGACTTCTGAAGACATTTTAATCTTGAAGCTAGATAGTATTTGTCCTTGGCATAAATAGGGCAAAGGAAAGGTAAATGGGAATGATGAATTGCAGTGATGTAATTTACATTTTGTTAAATTGCCTGGAAAACAATGAATTTTTCATTCCAAAAGCAATAAAATGTTCAAAGGATTGTTTGCAAAAGTGAACGCAGGCTATGTAATTCTGACAAAAATTATGTTATTACAAAAATTATGTTACTTTTGAATAGACATTGTATTCTGTTAATGAATCAATGATCCTATAAACAAGTGGATTAATTTGAGGATTGAAAAAATTGGGCATTCTTAATAAATTTGTTTATAAAAGCTTTAGAAAAAAGATATAATAGTTATTGCCAAATACAAATTTTTCTAATAATATATTCAGTAGTTTCATTTGTTTTTTACAGTGCACACTGGTTTTTGGCTGTTGTTTGTTTCCCTGGTTTGGAAAAACCAAAGTATGAACCTAATCCTCATTACCATGAAAATACAGTCACGCAAAAATGTTCAACTGTAGAGGACAGTTGTATTTCTTCACCTTCAGCCAGTGAAATGGACAGTTATTCACAAAACTCTGCTGCCAAGCCTGTAATTAAGAAGATGCTAAACAGAAAGCATTGCGTAGCTGTAATTGATTCAAATAATGAACAGGAAGAAAGTGACCCTCGTTATCGGAGAAACCTTAGCAGTGTGAAATATAGTCTGAAAAAAATAAATCATACTGCAAGTGAAAATGAAGAATCGAATAAAGGAGAATCTGCATGCCAGAAAGTTGTTGATAGGACTAAAAGTGAGAGTGGCCTACAGAATGAATATTTAAGTTCTATGCACCATACAGGTATGTTTCTAAATGTTTTAAAAAATCAAAGAATTAGAATAAGTTGGAATTTTTAGAAATAGGATTAAGATTTCAGGGCACACTTTTTTTTTAAGTCAGGTTTATTGAGGTATAATTTACTTACAGTAACGTTCACTCATAAGTATAGCCCAGTGAGCTTTGATAAATGTATAGTCATGTAGTCACTACAACAATCAAGATTTAGAACCTTTCCGTTACTCAAAAAAATTCCCTTGTGCCCCCTTTATAGTGAGTCTCCTCTCCTCACCCTTACAGAGAATGAAGTTTTAAAATTATAGTACAAGGTCTGCATTTTCCATTTATAGGAACTTGGACTTATTTTTATTTTGTAGGAAATTATTCAGCATAAACAGTAGTTGCACAACTTAGATCTGTTAAGGCAAATTAGTTCGATCTTCTCAGTTTACAGATGGGCAATTGAGATCAAGGGGCAAGAGGCAGAAATTAAAGCTTTCTCCTCCAAATAGCTGTTGACATTCAAATTAAAAGCTAGTTTCTGTTCCTCACTCTCTCTCCTTCATGATTTTCAGTGGGAGAAAGGGCACTGGTCCAACCTCTGCTTTTTTATTTCCCTTCAGTTCTAATAAATTGTTTTATTCCTTGAATCAGGTCCATATTTCTAGCACTTGTTATAGAAATCTAAGGTTTCTCTTCAAATACTTAAATTATATATCAAGTCAACTGCATAATTTCCACTTCAACCCCAAAGTCTACTTCATAAACCCATAATATGTATATAGGATAGCAAACTTAATAAACTATGAGTATATCTAATACATTTTCTTGGGAGGAAAAAACTCAGTATAAGGCATAGAAGAAATTATGTGAACTCAGTAAAAAAGTTGAGTCCCAACTTTCAAAAGTTGAACTCAAAAGTTCAAGAAAAAGTTGTGAATGCTCAACATACTCTGTACTTCTACCAGCCTGTATTATTTTAGGAAGTCAGAAAGGTGTTGCTGCGCTCTTACAAAAATTTTTTTGTTTGACATACTCAGCTGCATAAAGCTGACATTAGCCATATGTGTTGGTCTTTGTGCCCTTTAGGGGGTATAAGATAAGAGGCAGAAGGGGGAAATTTAGCAGATAAAGCAAAAAAGTATATCAAAAGCCAAGCAGATAAATACAGTTGACCCTTGAACAACATGGGGTTTAGGGTTGCTGACCCTCTGACAATCAAAAATCCACCTCTAACTTTATAGTCAGCCATTCGTGTCATACCACAGTTTCACATCCACAGATTCGCATCCCTGGATTCAACCAACCTCAGATTGTGTAGTACTGTACTACGTATTTATTGAAAAGAAATCCATGTGTGGGTGGGCCAGTGCAGTTCAAACCTGTGTTGTTCAAGGGTCAACTGTGCTTCCTTTTCTAGCTGACTTTCAAGTCTGTTTCAGCAGTCAGGAAATGGAATGAAGATTAAGCGAAGTATGTAATCACCAAGTTCTGACTAATTTTTTTCAGTTTTAGTATTTTAATACTTGAATAGAAAAAAATAAAGAGGCAGTGAATAGCCACGTTAGAGATTAATTACCATTTTGCTAAACAGAAAGCATTGTGTAGATGGGCACTCTGAAGATTAAGCCTTCAAGGCAGTGTGCACTGTTTCTCATTGCCTTTAAAACAAAGTCCTGGAGGAGGGATATATTGGGATTGACACATACACACTACTATATATAAAATAGATAACTAATAAGGACCTACTATACAGCACAGGGAACTCTACACAATACTCTGTGATGGCCTATATGGGAAAAGAATCTAATAAAGAGTGGATATATGTATTTATATAACAGATTCACTTTGCTGTAAACCTGAAACTAACACAACATTGTAAATCAATTATACCCCATTAAAAATAAAAATAAAATAAGAAAACAACAAAATCCTGCCAGTTAGTACATGAGAAGATGCTGGACATCATTAGTCATGAAGGAAATGTAAGTCAAAACCACAAAGAGATGCCTCTTCATAGCCATGACAGCATGGCTAGAATCAGAAAGTCAGGTACTAACAGGTGTTGGTGAGGATGTGCGGAAATTGAGGCCTTCATATATCGTTAGTGGGAATGTAAAATGGTACAGCTTGCTTTGGGAGACAGTTTTGACAGTTTCTCAAAACGTTAAACATAAAGTTATCATGTGATTCAGCAGTTCCACGCCTAGATAATTACCCAAGAGAAATAAAAACATATGTCCTCACAAAAACTTGGGCATGAACATTTATAGCAGCATTATTCATAATAGCCAAATGGTAGACACAATCCAGATGTTCATCAGCTGACAAATGGATAATCAAAACATGATACATCCATCCAATGGAATATTATTAGGCCATAAAAAGAAATGAAGGAGTGATACATGCTACATAGATGAAACTTGAAAGCATGCTAAGTAGTCATAGAAGACCTCATATTATGTGATTCCACTTGTATGAAATCTCCCAGGAAAATCCGTAGAGTGGGTTAATGGCTGCGTAGGGCTGGTTGCGGGTATGGGACAGCAGTATGGGGAGAAGGGAGTGATAGCTGAAGTGTACAGAGTTTTTATTTGTTTGTTTGTTTTTTGGGGGTTTTTTTTAGATTTAAAACATTTTGAAAATGTTTTAAAGTTGACTCCAGGGATGGTTGCACATAGTATTTGTAAATATACCAAAAACTACTTACATGTACACTTTAAATGGGTGAATTGTATGTGAATTGTATCTCCACAGAACATTTTTTAAGTTCCTTTTTGATCAATAATTTCATACAGTTTAATGTGAATTCAAGTTTAAAAAATGAATTAAAGTGCATGTCTTAGAGCAATGGGACAAACAAAGCCTTAGGACTTCCTTCATATACACAAACCCCAGAAATTCCTGGTGGCTCTCTCTACAAGTTAATGTTCTAGTTGAGAAATAACCAGTTAAATTTGAGTAAATATACCCATAAATCCTAATGGAGACCAAAGTAAAGAATATCTATTGTATGTAGTTTGCCCTTTTATAATATCTGTTTATTCTTCTATCAAAAATTATTGTTTATGCTTTTGTTTTGTTTTTAGTATGTGTGTAACTTTATCGACTATATCTTCCTTAAAGGAAATTAATTTACCTTTATTGTGTGTGATACACTGGCATTTTTCTATTCTTTTTCAATGCTTATCTTAATCCAATGACCATAGTGTCCCACAGTTTGAAAAATGGTTCTCTAGAATGGGTCTGTATTTTTCAGGAACAAGCTCTCATATCTTTCATCAGATGTTTCCAAGGTATCACTCACCCAAAAGTACATTGAATGAGGGTGCTCTCTAGAGGAGCCTTTACTGCCTTGGAGAGGATGGCTAAGCCATCTATCCTAGATAAAATGATGACGTATCAGAACTGAGGATAAGGAGAGCTTGTAAAAGTTTTTGTGATTATGATTAATATCTTAGTGATCTGTTTCTATTTGGTCTGGGAGTATCGTCGACAGGACTTAAGTAAAGCATTTAACATAATTTTAACCGTTGAACACGTACAGAGTGTTGACTGATGTCGGTTGACATGCTGCAGTAAATGCGTGGAGTTGTATCTTGCCACAGGGATTAGGTTTTTAAGGTCAACTGTAGGAGAATAATGTCTGTTATCACTACTTTGATTTGGTGTTTTTTCAGTTGGGCACCATTTGAAGTAGTTGTCTTGCTCTGTATGGTACATGAAAAATGTGTATTTTTAAACTCTAGAATCACACTTGGTTTGGCACCTTCAGGTGATCTCACTATGTGAGAAAAGCTCAGGAAATGGGACTGATTGGGAGAACAGCTGATTGAGTTATTGCCTCTCAATTTATACTAGGGCATTTGTTTACTGAACGAAATAGTTGAAGAAATTGACTACACTATTTAAATTACTTTTCTCCTTTTTGGCAGTGCACATGTATTTCATTTGTATAAGGTTCATGTTTATATGACACAATTTCTGTGTAATAGGTACAGACAGGAATACTTCGCTGCAAAAATAACTTGATTGTAGTGACTAGCTCTTAATTGCCTGAGGATTTGGACAAGTTTTATTTAAATATAGGTGTTTTTGCTTCAAGAAAGCATAAAAATACAGACTTTTGAAAGAGATAAATTGAAAAGGTTATTCTTTGCGTGCTTTATTATTTCAAATAGTATGTTTTTGATCACAACGTTTGGACTTTTATATATGTTAAATGTATTTTTCAAGGAGCACTTTTATCTTGCTGTTTTCCCATCCTATCTTGCTTATATTAGTATATAAATGTATTTTTCAAGGAGCACTTTTATCTTGCTGTTTTCCCATCCTATCTTGCTTATATTAGTATTCTTTTGCCCTTTTAATAACTTGTACCAAAATAAGTTAAATCCTGTTTAAAATACCTTGAAGTCATGCTTTTAAAAACTTGGAAATGGTATGCTCTATAATAAATATTTGTATATTTGGCATCAAAATTCCTGCTCAGTTTTCATTATTTTCTGGTAAATCTTCAGTTTCTTTAAGAAAATCATTGATTTTTAAGGATTTAGATTCTTGAAACAGACCTTTAAAAGAATTCATTTCAAATATTTCTACGAGTCATTTATTTTCATACTGCCAGCACCTACGTTGGCTTGTGTCATTTTATTTTGTTGAAAAGTATATGAATATAACCAAACATGAAGGAAAAATATACAGAGTTGAGGAACTCATCCATAACTATCCTAGCATAATTATTTTCATTTTTGTATTTTTTTAAATTATTTGTGCAAAAGCAAGCCTGTTTTACTTTGTTTTAATCATGTTTTTTTAACTTGTATATTTTTCCATATTTTCACAATTTTAATTTCTCTAGTGTACACAGTATTTCATTTTATGTTCTACATTTGCTAGCCATTCCTGTTATTGAACAACTGAGTTGTTTTCAAACTATTGTAGCTTCTGTTATTAAAGGTACTTAGCATACCTAGCACAAAATCTTTATATATATACATGTATTTAAATATACATATTTAATAATATAATTGATACCTAGTGTTTAAAGTTTAATAAATTTTAGGGTCTGAGTAGTAGAAACAACTCTTTAGATGACATAATCCAGGTTTTTTACTTAAAAGTAACTTATTTTATACTTGTGATATTTACATGCTAAGACAGATTTTGTATTCGTAATTACTATGCAATTAATTACTAGCATTAATTTTAACATCATGTACTATAAGTTATGTGTGTGTTCTTTTTAAAAATTATGTAATCTTTCTTATTGATACAGATGGCTTAAGCAAAATCAGACTAAACTACAGTGATGAATCAGCTGAAGGTAGTAAAATGCTTGAAGATGAACTCATCGACTTCTCAGAAGATCAGGATAACCAGGTGAAACCTAACGCTTGGCAAAAAAGTTCTAGTATTTTACATAATTAAAAGTTTCTCTGGGGTTCCCTGGTGGCACAGTGGTTGAGAGTCCGCCTGCCGATGCTGGGGACGTGGGTTCGTGCCCCGGTCCAGGAAGATCCCACATGCCGTGGAGTGGCTGAGCCCGTGAGCCATGGCCGCTGAGCCTGTGCGTCCGGAGCCTGTGCTCTGCTAACGGGAGAAGCCACAACAGTGAGAGGCCCGCGTACAGAAAAAAAAAAAAAAAAGTTTTTCTTTAGATTTTTATAGGTGATTACTTCAAACGGTTAACTCATGCCTTCTGTACTTGGATCTCATCTCACAACACAAATTTGGTTTTCAGTTCAGAAGTTGCCGGGATAGATGTATGAACGTTGTTTCATTTTTTGTTTTGGGGTTTTTGTTTGTTTGTTTAGTTTGCCATTGAGGACTAAACTAATATCACCCATCGTGGAAAGTTTCCATGTGAAATGGATCCTCCCGCCGCGACCCAGCGACCGCCCACCACCCCTACCGCACCCCTTTCCGTTGCTCTTTTAAAGCATTTGTGTGCCGTGCTTAACCTTCGGTCTTACTTAACACTCAGGAGGCAAGTGTTCACATTTTCGATTATGTGGTGTGTGGTGCACGAACACAGCAGAATTACACTATTTTTACCACCTGTCTAATGATTTTTTCTTTCATCTAATCTGCTGTATATGCATCATGGCAGGAGCAGATCATATTTAGTTAAAATTAACATAGGTCGATTCTCATATTTCCTTAGAGTCTTGTTTGCCCTAATAAGCTTTATTAACACCAAGAATAAAGTATATTTTTGAAAATATCTTATAACTTCAGTTAAACATGCATTTTCTACTGAGAGAAAAGCTTATTCCATTTCCTTTTTCTGCCTCTTCCTTAGTTGTTAAGACAAACTTTGAGTTTATCTAGTAGTAAAGATAACTTTGTACTGCACCATTTTTCCTTTTTGCTCAATCCTCTTGTGAACAAAAAACATTTTTGTGATGTCCCTTGGTCTACAGTGCGTGGCTATGAAATACAGTTTTTCTTTCTAATATATACAGACACATATCTGGATTACATTCAAGGTTTATAATGAGCACTTCATATGCTCCTTTTTGGTCCTAGCAGTTACGTGAACTAGTTAATCTAACCGTGTATTACTACTATTATTATTCCTACTGTTGACTGTTTCATTCAAAAGGTTGCCAGAAGCTTTCCCACAGGACAAAAAAAGCTTTGTTTGTTTTACATTCAAGGTAATCAGTAGAATAATACACACTATCATAAAGCTGTCTTCTCTCACGTGAAGTGGGTAAAGCGTTTTGTCAAGTAAAACAGTGTTTCCATAAACCCTTTAAATGTTTCTGATATGAAAAAAATTTTTGTGTGAAAAGATGATAAATATAAGTCATTCATGTCCTATTGTGAAAACAGTTGTTTTAGCCAACAAATTAAATTTTTGTAAAAATACCTAAAATCAGAGCCATAATGTTTGACTAGAGAAGAATCAGTCATGGTATACTTCATCTTTAAAAATTTAGATTGAGTAAATAGATGTAACAAGTTTTCTTAGACCTCTGATTGATGGTTTCTTTCATTAAGATGCCTGTGTTGTAGTGTTACATCATTGGTATCGAGTGACGTAACACATTTTCTAATGTCTGATCACCTAAACAGAAAAATATTTTTTTACGTATTTGCTACAAGGATTTTTATCCTCAATAGTGCTATTTTGTTACGTTATCAGTCATTTAGATTGTATATTTTCAATACTAACAGTAGGCTTTCTTTTACAGGATGACAGCAGTGATGATGGATTCCTTGCCGATGACAACTGCAATTCTGAAATAGGACAGTGGCATTTAAAGCCTACTATCTGTAAACAGTAAGCATTAACGTACATCTTGCAAACTACATGATAGTGTTTTTTTTTAACTGTTACTCTTTTTTTAAAAATTTTATTTACTTATTTTTGGCTGCATTGGGTCTTCATTGCTGTGCGCGTGCTTTCTTTAGTTGGCGGCGAGCGGGGGCTGCTCTTCGTTGCGGTTCGCAGGCTTCTCATTGCAGTGGCTTCTCTTGTTGCGGAGCATGGGCTCTAGTCGTGTGGGCTCAGTAGTTGTGGCGCACGGGCTTAGTTGCTCCGTGGCATGTGGGATCTTCCCAGACCAGGGCTTAAACCCATGTCCCCTGCATTGGCAGGCGGATTCTTAAACCACCGCGCCACCAGGGAAGACGCTACATGATAATTTTTATTCACGTACCCTCTTAGAATAAAACATTAACCATACTGTTTTAATTAAAACAGGTATTTAAGCAAAAATCACAGAAGCTTTCAGAGTCAGTGAGGAAAATTAGGTCCTGCCCAATGTCCAAGGTTTGAGTTGGGGAGAATGGAAATTATTTGAGTTCTCCATTTGCCCATTTTCCATGTCTGTGCGTGTGCATAGAAAACCACTACTCCTTTTGGATATATAGTGATGTGGAGCAGGAAAGGACAAAGAATGTCATTCAAATTCACATCAGTAACATGGGAATTGGAGTTTACACTGGTTCCATAGCTACTGTGTGAAGGCTGTGGAGTGACTTAAGGCAGTCCTAAGGGACATGTTCCAGGTGGGAAACCCAGGGAATTCCTTGGCAGTCCAGCGGTTAGGATTCTGCGCTCTCACTGCTGAGGGCGTGGGTTCAATCCCTGGTTGGGGAACTAAGATCCCACAAGCTGTGGTGCAGCAAAAAAAAAAAAAACAAAGAAACAGATGGAAACCCCAAATTGAGAGTGAGTCTATTTTGGTTCTCAGAAGTACATGTTCTGAGATCTTGCCAGGGTCTGCAGACTTCCTAGGCGATGAAGTAGTACCTATTTCTAGACTTCATCTCTTTTGACTTTTTGTAGGAAATCTTGTCTGAAACTCCATTAATAGCATTTGAAAAGCAAACTTCATTTATAAAGGAAAACATAGAGACCTAGAGCAGTTGAGAGATTTTTTCCAAATCCCATAAAATGTTAGCCAGGAAGAACCTAGATCTTTAATCATCTCAGGACTTTTTGCACTACATTAGACTTCCTCACTTACTTGGGTTTAACAACAAAATTTTAAAAGTTGAGTATTATTTATACTGAGTGTTCTGAAGTGGAACCTCGCCCAAAACACTGGATTCTAAACTAATTCTTTTATGTGAAGATTACCTGATTTTTTAATCTAAAATAGATTTTAGTTAAAAATGGGATTATTTTTCTTCTACTTTTGCATGGTCTCACTTTTGGTAATTTGGAATATGCAGATGTTCAAATTTTCAGAATTGTTTTGACTTTCTACTAAATTTTTAAGTGTTTTTAGGAACTTTGGTGAACTATATTCATAAATTAACTATGATTAAATTATTACTCTTTAATTCAGTATTTAATATAACCATGGATAGTTAAGTATTATTAGGGTGTTATCCGCCCCCCCCAGCAAGTTTTACTGAGTCATACAAAGTGAATTTTTAAGGTTTGAAATTTTATTGTTAATGTACATCTTTTTATGCCTTTTAAACATTATAAAGTATTAATATTTGGTCATTTCTACCGTATAGACCTTGTATCCTACTGATGGACTCACTCAGAGGGCCTTCTCGGTCAAATGTTGTAAAAATTCTAAGAGAGTAAGTTCAAAACTCTACCTGTACTTTGTATTCTGGTGGGAATGAGGAACTGTGTATATTTATATGTATGTATATATTCTTACTATATACACATCATTGCAGGTATTTAGAAGTGGAGTGGGAAGTTAAAAAAGGATGCAAAAGAAGTTTTTCCAAAGATGTTATGAAAGGCTCTAATCCAAAAGTACCCCAGCAAAACAACTTCAGTGATTGTGGTGTATACGTATTGCAGTATGTAGAGAGCTTTTTTGAGGTGGGTTTCAGTTTGTTGGATCTGATTTAATAAATAATAAAATGATGTGTTTGATCTCATGTTAGTGTAAAAAACACAGTAAGCAAATATTTTGAAGAGATTGAAAACTATTGTTTCAAAAATTATTCCAAGGAGCAAAGACTCTTAAATTGGAGAATTTTTAAGGCATAAAATAAAAAAGACCTTACTCCATCAAATCCAAGGCTTGTTGACCTCATTACTCATCACTAATCAGTTCCTCTCCACTGGCTCTTTCTGCCTTAAGAAATCTCTCCCGTGATTCGGGCTATATCTTTTACCTTCTTTTCTCCCCTTCACAGATATATTTATGGACAAGTGTTTATATTCATTGTCTTCGTTTCCACGAATCCTATTTGCTTCTTAAATCTCTCTAATCCGGCTTGACCCTCACCCTTATATTGAAATTGTTCCTGACCTCGCAGCACCATTTGACACTGTTTTATTCCTTCCACATAACATGTTCTTCCTTTGACTTCAGAGGTACAATACCATGCACACCTCCCTTGGATATTCTTTTTTTTTTTTTAACATCTTTATTGGAGTATAATTGCTTTACATTGTTATGTTAGTTTCTGCTTTATAGCAAGGTGAATCAGCTATACATATACATGTATCCCCATATCTCCTCCCTCTTGCATTTCCCTCCCACCCTCCCTATCCCACCCCTCTAAGTGGTCACAAAGCACTGAGCTGATCTCCCTGTGCTATGCAGCTGCTTCCCACTATCTATCTATTTTACGTTTGGTAGTGTATATATGTCCATGCCACTCTCTCACTTCATCCCAGCTTACCCTTCCCCCCCCTTGTGTCCTCAAGTCCATTCTCAGTGTCTGCGTCTTTATTCCTGTCCTTGCCCCTAGGTTCTGCAGAACCTTTTTTTTTTTTTTTTTAGATTCCATATATATATGTGTTAGCATACAGTATTTGTTTTTATCTTTCTAACTTACTTCACTCTGTATGACAGACGCTAGGTCCATCCACCTCACTACAAATAACTCAATTTCATTTCTTTTTATGGGTGAGTAATATTCCATTGTATATATGTGCCACATCTTCTTTATCCATTCATCTGTCGATGGACACTTAGATTGCTTCCATGTCCTGGCTATTGTAAATAGAGCTACAGTGAACACTGTGGTACATGACTTTTTGAATTATATAGGGTATATGCCCAGCAGTGTGATTGCTGGGTCATATGGCAGTTCTATTTTTAGTTTTTTAAGGAACCTCCGTACTGTTCTCCATAGTGGCTGTATCAATTTACATTACCACCAACAGTGCAAGAGGGTTCCCTGTTCTCCACACCCTCTCCAGCATTTATTTATTTTTTTATTTATTTTATTTATTTATTTTTGGCTGCATTGGGTCTTCGTTGCTGCGTACGGACTTTCTCTAGTTGCAGCGAGCAGGGGCTATTCTTCATTGCAGTGTGCGGGCCTCTCATTGCAGTGACTTCTCTTGTGCGGAGCACAGGCTCTAAGTACACGGGCTTCAGTAGTTTGTAGCACGCAGGCTCAGTAGCTGTGGCTCACGGGCTCTAGAGCACAGGCTCAGTAGTTGTGGCACACGGGCTTAGTTGCTCCGCAGCATGTGGGATCTTCCCAGACCAGGGTTTGAACCCGTGTCCCCTGCATTGGCAGGCGGATTCTTAACCACTGCGCCACCAGGGAAGACCTCCAGCATTTATTGTTCGTAGATTTTCTGATGAAGCCCGTTCTAACTGGTGTGAGGTGATACCTCATTGTAGTTTTGATTTGCATTTCTCTAATGATTAGTGATGTTGAGTGTGTCCTTTCATGTGTTTGTTGGCAATCTGTATATCTTCTTTGGAGAAATGTCTATTTAGGTCTTCTGCCCATTTTTGGATTGGGTTTGTTTTTTTGATATTGAGCTGCATGAGCTGCTTGTAAATTTTGGAGATTAATCCTTTGTCAGTTGCTTCATTTGCAAATATTTTCTCCCCTTCTGAGGGTTGTCTTTTCATCTTGTTTATGGTTTCCTTTGCTGTGCAAAAGCTTTTAAGCCCATTTGTTTATTTTTGTTTTTATTTCCATTACTCCAGGAGGTGGGTCAAAAAAGATCTTGCTGTGATTTATGTCAAAGAGTGTTCTTACTATGTTTTCCTCTAAGAGTTTGATGGTGCCTGGCCTTACATTTAGGTCTTTTTTTTTTTTTTTTTTTGCAGTAGTGTATGGTGTTAGGGAGTGTTGTGATTTCATTCTTTTACATGTAGCTGTCGAGTTTTCCCAGCACCACTTATTGAAGAGGCTGTCTTTTCTCCATTATATATTTTTGCCTCCTTTATCAAAAATAAGGTAACCATATGTGTGTGGGTTTATCTCTGGGCTCTCTTGGATATTCTTTACAGTTATCTTGACTTCTTCCTCTTCTTCATCCACCACCCATGGTGCCATAAGCCCTGTGGATTCTGTCACTTAGTGTCACTTATGTTCAGTTATTTACCCCTGCTACCACTAAGTCCATTTCATTAGCCTCACTATTCCAAACTGCTGCACCAACCTCTGACGTGGCCTCTTGCCTTGTATTTTTCACAGTTGTTTTCCCAAAACCCAAATCTAATTGTGTTGCTTTTCTGCTTTAAATCTTATAATGGCTTCCTGTTATTCTTGAGTTAAAGACCAGAATCCTTCAGTGGCCTGCATCATCCAACTCCTGTTCAAGCTTCTAGCCTCATTTCTACCATTCTCACTCCAGCATTCTACACACCATCCCCCTGGATGTCATTCAGCCTCTCGTGTTGTGTCATATTGTCTCTTGCCGCCAGGCGTTGGTACATATTTCATTACCTGGAATACTCTTCCCTGTTGCTTCCGTCATTCCTTATTTGGCTAACTCCTACTCATTCTTCAGGTCTTAGCATAAACATCACTTCTTGAAATTGTGCTAAGCCCTTAGATATGTATACGCATAGGACTCTCTGCTTCTCCTGCCTTAATACTTGTCATATTCATTGTTTTAATTGTTGAGTTATCTATCTCGACTGGAGTTAGCAATCACTTTCATAGGGCACCAGGTAGTCAGGTAGGAAATATTTCAGGCTCTGCGGCCGTACAGTCTCTACACTCGGTTCTGCTATTGCGGCATGAAAGAAAGCATCCACAGGCAGCATGTAGATGAGTTACTGTGGGTGTGTTCCAATAAGGCTTTATTTACAAGAACAGGCAATAGGCAGAATGTGGCCCACTAGCTGTAGTTTGCTGACTGCTGATCTAGACTATAAGATCTGTAGGCAGAAACTGTCTTGTCTTACATCTCTAGTGCCCAGCACAGTGCCTGCATGGAATAGATAATGAGTAAGTACTGATTTATTTCATTTCTTCTCTGGAATGCTTTTGTGATTGAAACCAAGATAATTTTTATTATAGTTTTCTAAGGTGCATTTAATGTTTTTACTTTCAGAATCCAATTCTCAATTTCGAACTACCTATGAATTTGGGAAACTGGTTTCCTCCCCCAAGAATGAGAACGAAAAGAGAAGAAATCCGAAATATAATTCTGAAGTTGCAGGAGGATCAGAGGAGCAAAGAGAAAAAAAAGCATAAGGACACGACAGAAACATCTTTAGGCAAAGGAGCAGAAAAGTATATCAGTAGCATCTCAGTTTGACCATTCTTGATGCTTGTCAGTATTGCCTTCATAAACTGAGTGACTTTCAAGGGTATAGACAATAAAGAACTGAAGTGCTCACTATGCAGTGATTTGGAAATGTTAATGCTTGTATAAATGTCATATAATTTCCAATGGAATATGTATGAAATAAAAGTCTGTAAATATATCAATGAGGCCAATTTTTCCAGCATTTATAATTATTTTTTTCACTTGTTAGGAAGCTATTGTTATGTATTTTCTGTTAATAGTACTTAAAACTGCAACTTCTAAACACAAATAAATAAAAAGAAACTATTTATAGGAGGAGATGATTAAGTTGATATCCTTTAGTGAGATTGTATTAAATTCTTCAGTGGGTGTGTATCTGTGATAATCTTTTGACCTTTGCATTTGTTTTAAAGTAACTTGAAATGTGAAAATAAGATTAAATCAAAGGCATTTTGAACATGAAAGACATCCTCATATGTTTGTATAGCAGGAAAAAGTAACAGCTTTTAATTCAGACACTCCCTTGTGTTTAGAGAACTTGGCCCCAAAAGTGTAATAAATATTTATAGTTTTACTCAAACATTTAAGAAGAAGCAGTATTTAGAGCACGTCAAAGAAAAATAACTTTGAATTATACTACTAAATATTAACTATACTTTATCATACATTATTGTCAAGTACATTTCTGAAGATGTCAGAGACTCAGGTTAAAACTATTTTGGTAAGTACAACTTGAATTTCAAATATCTCATGTTACCTTTCTATATTATAGCTTAAAGTATCTACGATCTGTGATATAGTTAATTGATAAACATTTTTAACCTGTGAACACAGGAATTTAAATAGGAATTTACTATTTTTTGTAATGACTTTTGCTATTTTATCATTGCTCATTTTGTTCTTGTTATTTTGATAAACAGAGTATCAGACTTTTTGCACCTGAGTTTTTTAGTGTAAATTATTTTTACATGTGAAAGTGCTGTCTTTAATCAGTTGCATAATGCAGAAAAAATCTCCTATATTGAATTCCCCTTTAAAAATACTAAGATGTGATGGTTTTGATGACAGATTTACAACTCATGTAGGAATCTTGCATATATCTGCTGAAACTGTTATTTTCAAATGAAATGTTACAGAGTTCTTTCGAATTAACTTTGAGATGTGAAATTATATATTTTAAAGGTCATTTTTTTGTTAAATAATTTAAAAAGCACATATAACAAACATAGTTGAGAATAAAAGGAAGACCGTTTTTCATCAGCAATTACTTTATTTTTAATCTGGCCATTTCTGGCATTGAAACCAACATTTTAGGCTACTTACTTGGATTTAATAAAGTCCATGGATGTGTTTGGGGCGGATTGTGGGTATTGTTAACAACAACCAAAAAATATGTATATATTTATATTTAGACACACTCATTAAGGGAAACATTAAAATGTAAGTTTAAGGAATATCACCATTAGTGGTATTGATTATGGATTTGTTACTTTGAACTGTCTTAACATTTTTATTTATTATTACATTATTTCTTTTTAAGGAATACCCTAGAGCTCTTAATTCAGATATGAAAAGAGTTTAATTTTATTATTTACTGAATATGGACCAAAAAATGGAAATTTTTTAAAACCTGATAGCAGTAAGCAAAATTGGCATATTTAATTTTTTTACTGTCCTGTATTTTGTTAGAATTTGAAGGTACTGAAAGAACTATTCTGAAATGCTTGTTTTTGTTTCAATTTCTAATGGTTACATTTTGCACTCTTAATTTTTGAAAATATAAAAAGATAACCTGTTCCTTGGGCCAATTCAGTCGATCACGTTTTGACACGTGAAAAATTCTATTTTTTAAAAGTTATGCTAATGGCTTTGCTTTGGAGATAAGTCTTTGGAGACTGCCAGGTTGATCTCCAAAATTAGACTTGAGACTCTTTCTTTGTTGTTTATGCGCATTTACTTGTTAATTGTGTACTCTGGTACTTCTATATGTGGTTTAAAGTGGTTATCAACCTTTTAAAATGTATTATTAGTGCTTAGAAGTTGTGAAACAGTTTTAAAGCTTAGAGGTTTGTTACTAGATGCTGAAACTGCATGACGAGTATCTGGTGTCTTAACTAATTAGATAGATTTGTTGTATTTGTTTTCTTGTTGGATAGAATAACAGTTAATCATTTTTAGAAGAGTTTTAGATTACTTGCCATAAAATTTGTATGTGTCTTAGCTCTTGGTAGTTTAGGAGCAAAGGTGGCATTTAACTAGTCCTTTTCCTTTGATGTTGCTAAGACAGCTGAAAACTTAATGGTACTATTTCAGATTCACATAAACCTAAATAAGTTAAGCATAGTAACCTGTGCTTAAACTATTAGTCAATTAAATGTAGGAGGTCTTATTTGAAAGGATAAAATAATTATCTAAATTATGTCTTGTTTTAAGTCACCAAAATGAATTCTATATTTTTTTCTTTAAAAAACTATGATCTCCGAAAACTGTAAGATATAAAAAGAATAACAGTTTAAATTTCCCAGAGATTAAAAATTATACTTAAAGTCTCAGAAAATTCACTGAAGAGGAATAATAAAGAATGTACTTTAATATATATGATCAAGAGTTGGTGGAAAAAAGCTACTGGGATATAGTGACAGAAAGGATAATATAGTTAGAAGAAAAAGAATCTGTAAGAGATGAGGTAGTGTAGTGCTGCATATCTAGAAGAGGTACAGACAAGGTGGCTCTGTAGTAGATTGCTCTGAGGACAGAAGAAGGGAGAGATACTTGGAGGAGGATACTACAGCCTGTCTAGCCAGGGGACTATCAATGGATACTTTAAGGCAACCGAACTCACAGAGGCCAACACCAGACCCTATTAGGAAATGTAATCTACTGAAGAATGTCCTAAAATACTCCAGCAAGACTTTCTGGTGCATTTGTTGTTTCCCTACTCCCGAGAAGAAGAAAAAAAGTTAAGAGAACTGCTCTTTGAAACTTAAATTTAACCACAGAGGAAGTATTGGTTGATCAAGTGGAAGAAATGTGTACCTTGGGGGGAAAATAGACCTCCCATCTTAATTCTCATAAGCCAGATCGAGGAATAATGGTAGAGAGCCCTAAAGTGCTATTCAGGAAATCAGAGTGCAGTATACTCAGAGGAAAATACTACAGACCTATGGCCTGAAACAGAATGAAAAAAGCTAAAAAGCTTGGAGGTCTTCACTGTCTTTATCACAAATAACAGTTCCATTGTGCTTATTGTAAAAGATTACAGTGAGGAACATATTACCCAAAACAAGGATTTTCTAGAAATGTTTATCAGAATCACCTGGGGAGCTTTTCAGAATACGCATGCATACCTAGGGTCTTAACCCCAGTGGTGCCATGAATTTTCAAATAATTCCTCAAGTAATTCTATTATGCACCTCCCACTGATGTAAAAGGATCAATATTTGTCCCCGACAGCTTTCAAGTTGCTGGTCCCAAAGGTAATGAGGCTTGTCTGCATTTTCTTCTCTCAAATGCTGTAAGATACCCCTTTACCCCCAACTCCCAAATTCTCATTAAGAATTTGATGGGTGAACTTAATAAATTGCTGTTACTAAGCCTTGCAGAATTATAAAGAAATTATTAAGGTACTCAGAGGTTAGAGACGGGCAGATACCTTTTTAATCAAAAGGCAAAAAGTAGATTCTGCAAATTGTAAGATAGAACATCAACTCTTGATGAGATTCTAAAATGGATTAATAAATGGATGATTTGTGAACTCTTAATGGTCACCAGGAGTTATGGGATCACTATAACCAAGGTGGTTTGATATTTTCACTAGGATTCTGAACCTGTCAATCTGTAGAGCACAGCCAGACTAGCAGTTCTCAAAGTATGTTTGCTAACTCTAGTTTTGAGAGATAGTTATAAGTTCTGTGTCAAATAAGTTGGGGAAAATTTAGAACAAATTAAGCGGGTTGCTTGGAACTAATATGCAGAATGATTAAACAAGAGGAAAATATAGAACACAGTATCCTAAATACAGAATTTGGCCATATCCTTCTCTCCTGCACTGATTCTCTAAACTTCCTTATAAATACTAGCCATCAGAAGACAGAGTCAACTATTTGGGGTGTTTGTGAACTGAACTTTATGAGAAGGTGCTTTTGAAACTTACCTGAGGTCAGTTATTTTTTTACATTTTATTTTATTAATAGTTGGGTATATGATTTGGAAACTTGAAAATAAATGACTAGTGTCTTGGGGAAATGAAGTTTCATGAAAATCATTCTTTTATAATTATTGTAAATGAAAAAATTACAAACCTAATTCTTATATACAAGTGGATTCTTCTAGGAGGAAAACAGATTTGATGATACTAATATTTGTAAGGTAATCAAATGCCCTAAACTCATACACAGGTAGAAATTGTGTATAAGTATGAAAGTCAGCTGAAATCTAGAGGCTCTTCCTTCTGTTTATATCTGAACCACTTAACTGCTAGCTCAAACCTCCCCTGACTTCCACTCCATCAGCCTTTTACTTTAGAGTTCAATTGAAACACACAAACTTTATACCTAGAAGCATTTTTTTCCTCCTGTGCAAAGAAGTACTCTTTATTAACTTAATATGCTTTCAATATGTTTAATCCCTCAAATAACTGAAAATTAGTTGTTTAAGCCTGTTGTAAGACTTACTACATTTATTATAATTAGCTTTATACATGTTGACAGCAGAGGATTTGATCCAAAACAAATTAGTTGAAAAGAAATTGATCCTTAAATATTGAATAGATGTTCTGAGTACCTACTTTGTGCTAGGTATTAGGGATTTAAAACAGGGAGCCAAACATACCATCTTCTCCGCTCATGGAGCTGCCTTATAGTATAATGGAAAGACAACTGTTACAGCCTCACAAGTTAATAATTTTAAGTGCCATGCAGGAAAAGCATAAAATGTATGAAGACAATATAGGCTAATCTAGGGAGGTTGGGGACATCTTCCCTAAAGATGTGACATTTGAACTATTGGTAAACATAAAGTCTGAGAGGGCAAAAGAAGAATAGTGCTTGTAGACTGTGCAAAGGCCCTGAGGTAGGGGGATGTGTAACCTGTCCTAAATGGTAATGGCCTCATTTATTAACTGTGTACTATATGCCAAACATGTTCTAAAATTCTAAAATGTATGAATTCATTTATTTATAATGACTTTATGAGATATGTACTCCCAATTTATGGAACTGAGGTCCAAAGAAATAGTTTCCCCAGCAAAGCTGGGCACTGTCTTACCCTATAAGCTAGGTCATCCTGGCTAGAAAAAAGAAGGCGAAAATTAATCAATGTCCATATTTTTTTTAGCGATGCAATGTGGCTAAGTCTTGATTATCATGGAAACTGGTTGTATAGGGGTTTTTTTGAACTATGTTATCTTTTAGTATGTTTAAACATTTTCATAATTTAAAATACAAAATTATAGTAGGCCTGTGTAACTGGAGCTCAGAGTAAGATGGAAAGGTAGGCTGGGACCTGATCATGCAGGGCCTTGAAGCCATGTTCAAGATTTTGGTCATTATCCTAAAACGTTACCCAAGCATTTCAAACAGGAAGAACATGATGCACTATGAATGTTGAAAAGATCACGATGGCGGTAATGAAAGCATTAGAGGGGGGCAAGAATGAGTGCAAGCCTGCGCTATAAGTAACTAATGATGAATTACCATAGCTAGGGTAAAGCATACAGTTATACCTGTGATCACAGGAA